TCTTTTATACTCACTCTATAGAAAAGTATAAAGACTTAAGCTTTTGTTACATATCCCTTGCAAGGAAGTTATTTACGTAAGTATATGTAAAGAAATTTGTTCAAATAATCCAGTTTATGTAAACCTATAATTAGAAAATTTTTTGAGAAATAATTGCAAGGTAAATTATATTTCTATCTAATATGCATTCAGAATGTTGTCAAACCATAACGTTGTATCTAAATTGAACCGAGAAGCTTGTCCATTATCCAGGAATGCGTGTATCAAGCTTTAAAAAATTTCACAAATTTTGCAAATAACCACGTTTTACATAGGATGACAAAATACTATAATTTGAAATTCAGCAAACACAACAAACAAAGAAGTTTAAGCATTATTTACTGAAAATATTATTGAACTGCAGGAGATAAAATTACTTAATTGGTACTTATGCCTAAAATCTTTTATGATTTGACAATTTTTGATATTTTTAAAATAGTTTTTCAGTAAATAATGTTTATAAACTAATTTGAAAACTGAAAACCTAAAAATTAACTTGCTTGAAAACTATGTAGTAAATAACAAAAATTGCCAAATCATGAAATAGTTTATGAATATGGACCAATTAAGTAATTTGATCTACTCTGTATTGCAGTTAAATAATGTTTTCCATTAAATTGTGCTTAAACAAAGGACTGAATTTAACAAAAAAATAAGCTAACTGGAATATTTAGGATAACCCTCTGAACTGTTGCGTGACTATTAGCTTGTACAAAATATTTTCCCTGTATGCCCTTCTTAAATGCAAACTTTTTTGTATTTTGTCCAAGTTTGAATTTCAAATTATAATATTTTGCCGTAATATGTACAACATGGTTATTGGCAAAATTTTTCAAAGTTTATAATGCTTGATACACGTATTTCTTAATAATATACTGGCTTCTCGGTTGTATTTCGATAAAACATTAGGGTTTGGCAACATTCTGGAAGCTACTTATGTATAATTTACCTTGCAATTATTTCTCAACTCAAAAAATTATCGAATTTTCGGTTTACGTAAACTGGATTATTTGAACAAATTTCTTTACATATACTTACGTAAATAAAAGAAACGAAACAAAGACGGCTTGTGCAACGAATACTAAACAAGTATTGGAGAAATTATATTCCTCAGTGTTTATTTAAGAATGTTGAAGATTCTACCTATTCCAAAGTTTGGAATCCAAATGGCACGAGACAATTTTTGTCCAGGTGTCACAAAAAATCAAGATATTCCTGCTAAGTTGCCTGACATAGCTTATTTGGATTTTTTCGGATTTTAATTTCTAAAACAAACAGTATTTCACCGACGAGAAACGACTCTAGATGGACTTTGGAAACTTTTAAAAGTGGAGTAAAAGAAAGTGACCCCTGAAAAGTGCAAAGAAGTTTTTTCAACGGGGAAAAAGCGATGTATCCTTAAAGTCTAGAATCAGGGCCTACATATAGTGCAAGTTTCGCATAAAAATAGGTTCAATTGTGGGTAATTAAAATTGGTGAACTTGATCATGAAATCTTGGAACACCCTTCTGTAATACCAAAAACCAATTTATTTGTATCCGATAAATTCATATTTTATAGCGAAACATTAAGTTGTATCATATTTGTAGACTACAAATTCTAATTGTGAGAGAATCTATTTACAGAAGGCCAGGGAACTTCGCTAATTTACGAATTTATACGTTTAGCTATTATTTCTGAAATATAAAGATCTTCAACACAACAAAATTTATGAAAGCATTTTAGAGTTGCAGGATTAGTTGATTGATAATTAATAATTATTATTAGTGCAATATTCCTCCTCCCCGTTTTTTTAAAGTATTGTAACTAATCTTCTAAATTTGTTAAGAATATTTTCCTCCAGAATGCATCACGTATCCACTCCGTTGGTCTTGCTGCCGGTAATATTTTACTCAGTTTGTTCTTCTTTGAACGGTATTACTAATAATGATATCACAATCCCAAAAAGAATTATGCAACACGTTGAAAATTGTGATCTACAAATCCTTCATGACGGTGATTTGAGGTCGGATTACTTTTCGTTCTTACAAGATCTATATCTCGCCAGAACGATAATATCAATGCCACAGTTTGAGCAAACAGTTTCCAATGTTAAAAATATCAACAACTTGTCATTCATCATTGACGTTATGGTAACTCGACCAGCCGGAAACAAGATAAGTATTTGGTTAAGCAGGCATCTAATCACCAAAAATTCACAAAGTCTTGACACACCCAAGTTTACCGCTTGGTTGATGGTATCTACTAGATTTCATTACTCTCATAAATTGACAGGACGGTTTAATTCCATATCCTCCATAAAAAATACTTACTTAATAATTGTAACTAAGTTAGGCCTAGGGGACGCAACAAGCTTTTTAGACATCTATAGTCACAACATTTATTACGAAAGTTTGTTCATACTCCTCATCTCAGGACGAGGTGTAAAAATTTGTGTGAAAGGGTTAGGGCTGCTACCTAATAATACGGAGAGCTATGATTGCAAAATAGCAGACGATGGTAAAATATTGGCCCATTATGGGATGCTTACCCCGCTGCAGGAAATTTGGATGGGGTCTTACTTTCCTTCAAACAGGAAGTTACGTTACTTAATCCCAACCAGCAATTTGCCTCACCCTTCTTTAAATCCGTTTGATGGTAAGACCTCCACATCCATGCCACTGTACATGGCTGTAATATTGGTGAAAACAGGGAGAAATGCGACGCTCATTTTACAGCAAAGTTGGTACGATGATCCCCATGTGGAGGTGGAAACCAACTTATATATTTTCCACACGGCCGGCATGCTTTCGGAATTCACTTATTCTACCGGGTACCAATTTCTGAGTTGCTATGGTGATTCCTATATAACGTTTGATTTCTACGTGACGCCATTCCAACCGGCAGTGTGGCTTGGTTTGCTATCAAGCCTGCTTTTGACTTTTATGGTTCTATCCGTCTACATGTTTTGGAAGCACAAGCGATCCGCGATTGGGTTATTTTTGTCTTTCCTTTCTTTATTTTTCGAGGACTTCACTCCAGTCCGAAAATATATGGCAAATACGTTTTTCTATCGCATCTTATTCAGCAGTTTGGGATTTGTTGCTGTTTTGTTGACGAATTGTTATACCGGAATAATGATAACAGAACTGAACGCACCGTTGCAACAATCGCGGCCGGAAACGTTCCAACAATTAATATGTCAAGATAAACATATTCTCAGCAGCAACGACTCTCAAGATATTGCTAGATGGGCAAAAGATTCAAATCTGGATTTATATTGGGGAAAGTCGAATATGATGAAACCATATAATCCAAATGTTTTTGCGTCGGATAGCTGCTTTAGAATGCTTTCAACCCCAACTCAAACCCCATCTAGCGCAACCTATTTCTGGTATACCCATTTAGTTAACAAATATTCCTTTGTTATCAAAAAACTACTAAAGGAATTTCAGCTAAACAAGGAAACTACTGCAGAAATTAGGAAACCCGAGCTGTTTTACCTCCTTCTTTTGAATCCGGTCCATAACTTTCTTCCCAGCGGTTTCAATTTCACAAATAGATGGCACACCACGACAGAACTACAAGAGTTGGTGGAGCGAGATATTACCATTTGTAAGAAAAAAACTGCCCTCATAGGGACGACAGAGCTAATTGAGGGAGAGATGGATTTTCTCACCAAAAGTTACCCATCAAAGAAATTTTATTCTGGAAGCGACCTCTTGGAAGAAAAGCGGTCTGGATGGAAATTTCTTGGTGGAGGTAGAAGTCCAGTATCTAGAAGTATATCTCCCGTTCATCAAAGGTTTAAGGCTCTGGTTCACTCCGGGATTTATTCAAGATTGAAGAGGGAAATGGCAAGAAATATGTGGAAACAGAGAAGACCAGTAGTTAATGATACGTCCAACATTATCTCATCGATGGGTATGAATGGAAGACTTGTGACACTTTTTGTGATCTGCGGTGCTCTATTTTCTGCACCCTTCATAGTCTTCTTGGCCGAAATTCGTAATTACGCTTGGAACTTTGTGTATTTCAATGTTTATCGGACTTTTCAGTCATGTTGTGGAAAACTGTAAGGTTATTTTATTTAAAAATTAATTTCCGCTCCCCCAAACTTCCGACACCTCGAACTCTCTATTTATTAGGGTTTTGTAAATTCCAAAGAAACTTGAATCAATTTCAACAGGAGATTTCCAGGCACATTCAGCTATTGCCAGGCAACAACTTTCCAGAATGACTCAACGAACGTCTGGTTCGTCAGTAAATTTCCAGTTTCTCAAAAATTCAGAGTTTCAAAACCTTTAAAAGCTTCGTCATCGACGTTATCCCCTATATTGATTCCCTTGAGACTACTTCTGCAAACCACATGCCAAATAAAGCGACTTTATTCCTCGCAAGCAGCCCAAATTTTCAAACGTGTCCTATTAACTTGTTACCTATTTACGCTCTACGTTTCCCTCAAGTAGATACAAATGAATGCTAACTATCAACCTATGCATTAGAAAATAAAATTCTAATATTATCTGCCCTAAACTCGTCTTAATTTTATTTTAAAAACCGATAAAGTTTCTAAATTTTTTTCTCTACCGTTATTCTAAGATACACATACATATTTCTCAGCCAAGTATCCCTTAATTGTCGAATGTAATATCTCACAATTTAACGCGGTGACTAAATTCACTACAAATCATTCATTTTCTCGTCTACTAACAAAAACAATAAACACAACATCACCTATTCTATCTGGTTATCAGCAAAATTCACATTTTAGTATAAAACTGTGTCACCTTATACATAAACTTCCCGTTTAGTTTTATCATAAACTTAAGGAGAACATACAGGAACTCTCAACTTTAAACGCTCCTCTCATAATGACAAATCCGTGCACCAATTACAACGCCGGCGATGTAGCCCAAATTCTGTTATAAATTATGTTCTCAAAAGTGGAATCTTTTATCAAGTTTGCATAAAAATCCCCATTGTAATATCACAACATGTCCAATGCATTCGATCGTAAATGCTGTGAACCCACAAAAAACAGCGACGATTGCCGAATGCTTAAGCGAAGCTGCCGGTGGAAAAATATTGTAAAGATTGGAGTATTCATAAACATCTGGCAAATGATGTAGTCAAGTGATTTTCTCCCATGGAAGGAAACCCAATTTAATTTTATATGTAAGTTCTTCTTACGTAGATTTATTTTTCAATTAAATTAATTATATAATCCAGCCATATATGTAACGTGAAACTTTTGAATTAATTACACTTATAATTTGAAACTAGGATTACGTATTCCTTCATGTGATACGGATTACCATTACATATACTCAGCAAACAGGTATGTATACATCTCTATTAGATAAATTATCTTAATTTTCTCATCAAATATATTACTTGTCACAAATATTGCCACAAATTAATTGAATAAATAAATTTTCAGTTTAAATAAAAAGGTTACATGTCTTAAAATTATCACAGGTTTACAATTTAATTAATTTCGTCTTATTTCCTGATGCAGGGACGAAAAATGGAAACTCTTAAACACGATTCGAACGAGGCCCTCCCACCCTCGGCGACGGATTTGACACTGAATAACCCTTACGTAAATTGGTCCATGCCACAATTTTAATACTAAATTAATTTCCACCTTGTTATTTCAGATTCTCGAAGAAATACTTACATATAGACACATTCCTTTGAAAACCTGCCGATTGGTAACTCCATTCTGTAACGATATCATCTTATCCATGCTAACTCCTCGCCTTTGCGTTTCCCTGGTACCATTATGCTCATCGTGCACCTCTTGTTCCAAAATACTATCTCAGTATGAAGATTTACTACCCTACTTCAATCAAAAATTAACACGAAAACTGGTAATAACCACGTGTTACAACAAAAATTTCGTGACAACCACAATGATTGCCTTTTTCCGCAAATTTTCCAACTTCAAGATATTTATTTCACGATGACTCGTGATTGCATGATTCCCCTGGCTGGAGCTCTGCTCGAACACCAGAGAAATAGGGCCGAAAGGCGAGTTGGCCATTTATTTTAAGTATTTAGTAGCGTTCAATTATTATGGAGAAATAATGTAATAAAGAATATGAGCTACGAAAAACAAGTGTAAACCATGACTGTATTTTTAAGTGAGGTCACCAGCAGTAACTTATGGTAGACAAATATGTTTAAGGTCAAATACTTTAGCACGGTAGAAAACACTTGCTGATTGGAAAGGCTTGGCGAATCAATGTTCCTGAATTTCAGAAAATAATAACCTTCGGGATTCTCTCTATTATTATTACATGGGAAGCACTTACATTGCTAGTCCCTCTTCAATTAAATGAATACACAAATGTCTACAATTTATCCGCTCATGATTATTTATTTAAAAAATTATATATTTTAATACAGGTAAATGTACAATTCCACCCCATTCATAATTCCCTCAGTACACACAAATAATTTGATCATCTTCCACGTAAAAACTGCCATCCTCCATTTCCCAAATTACACTGAACTCTTAATCATCTGCGTAGCAACGGCTGGGTTTCCCCAACGCGCGAAGCACAATTGTTATCGGAATCGCCCAGAAATGATGTTTTTATACTTCGGATTATAATGTGTCGCCAGGTACCCCTCCAGCCTGACATTGTAAATACCCCATCCAAGCCTCACCTTCGCCAATCTTTTTGACACAAAGGTAACGGAACTCTTTGGTTTTATAGCTACCTCAACTGCCGTACTGGATCCTACAGTGGACGCTGTAGTTTTCTTGTTTTAGTACTTAATCTTGGTGGTTAGAGACAAACTGGCCCTTCCATGAAGAGGACGTCAATGTAGAAATCATGACTCGCGCCAAGTCCAACTTCTCCTGACCACGTGGTTTCCACCTAGTCATAAATGACGTGGGATAAGGTCTCCCTGATTGTGACGTTTTGGTTGCTCTCGTTCGTATAATCGTTCGTTGCTATGACGCTTCTAGTCTCCCGCTCTGTGCAGGAGGACCCGAGTTGGCCGGTCATCTAAGACGTCACTTGTTGCCATCCGTACGTGCTACCGAGGTCATTCCAGCGGGTGCGGCTTCTGACGAAGGCATCACACCTGTGCAAGTAAATTTTCCTTCATTCACCTTCATTCATTTTCGCCCTGAGAAAAACTATCCTTCAATCCCTTCATTCACCATCATTTCTCCGTCATTCCTTTCATTCATTTCTCTCACTCCTCAATCATTCCTTCATTCCCTTCCTTCAGTTTTCTCACTCATTCCTTCATTCCCTTCATTTTGGTATATCAATTAATCGAATCACAATGACAAAAGTTGCTCTATGTAAAAATCTCACGTTGCCCCATAGAAATCTCACGTTGCCCCATCAAAAATCTCACGTTGCCCCATCAAAAATCTCACATTGCCCCATAAAATCTTGAATTGCCCCATCAAAATCTGACCTTCACTCCTTCACCCTTCATTCTCCTTCATTCCCATCATTCCTCGTCAAATCTCCTTCACTCTCCATCATTCATTGGCTGGAGGGTTGAGCCTTCCTTCACTCTCCTTCATTCTCCTTCATTCCCTTCACGTGATTGACGCCTTCATTTGGCCGAAATGAATGAAGGTGCACAGGTATGGAAGGCATCATTCGGCGACTTACCTAAATCGATTCGGACTCCGTTCTTCAAATCGGAGTAGTTCGGGATACCAAATTGCCTTCGGAGTTCTGGGGTAACGACCTGAAAATATTTACGTTTTTATTTTAACCTAGTTGGTAATAACAGTTTGATACCAAAAGTGAGAAAGCTTACCAATTGATGAGACCCAAAGTTGGTTGACGACGTGGGGGAAATTCTAACTGCAAAATTACCCTGACAGGGTGAAATAAACGATGCGATGCAGAAGGCCGAGAGGAGGAAGCTTATAGTAAGGCGGGTTGTCATTCTTTCACCGTTTTTGCTTTAAGCTTTTCAGGTTTGCTGCAATCTTCTGTGGGTAGATTGTACGTTTTTCACACAAATTGTATGATCACCCGTTACTTTTATGTCGTTTCGCAGTAGAATCTGCATCGTTACTTGTCAACAGAGCAGAAATTAATGCTCTCATAAATAAATAGTGGCAAAAACAACAAAATTAAAAAATCTCCCATTCAAACCCCACTTTCGAGTAACCTTTATCAACATAATTAATCGATAAGCTCTCATCAAGGTAATTATTATATACCACCCGATAAATAAACATTTTAGATATTCCAAACACAAATAATTATTTCACAAATATACTTTACTTTTCATATAAAAATTACGGTAGTAATCTCACCCGTAATAATGTTGATAATGTTGTGTGTTGTTTTGATAATGCAAACAAATCTATGACAAGAAAAACAAATCATACAGGAAGTGCGATTCGCGAATTATAATCAGCAAACTTTGGAATCAATTTTAATTACATGTTCGGTAGCAGATAAATCACAAAGGAATGACCGAATAATATCAGTTAAATAGTTCCTGCTAACTGTTAATATCTATTATTATTCAGAAACAATAAATATTTTTCAAATTATAATTCCAGTAAACCGTTGCACGTTAAATAAAGTCAGCCCGGGCATATTTATGACAAAAGTGATTACATATATTAAAAAATTGGGCTGCAGTAATGATTCCAAGAAGTTATTGGAAAAATGAAATAAAAATCTTCACAAATGTAAGCAAAGGAGTCGAAAATATTGTAAAAATTGATTTTAAGTTTATCCTCATTTTATTATTTACATGCGCCTCTCACCTCATAAACCTTTTTTAACTTATTATTTACTAGCAGATAAGCCCGTCTTAAAGACGGGCGAAATTTCATATTTGCCTTGACTCTCCCATTGTACTTAATATGTAACCAAATACTTTTCCTGTGAATTCCAACCAATTTTCTATTGTTACCAAGTTATATTCCTCGGTTACCAAGTTATTTTCTATGGCTACTAACTTATTTTATGCGGTTAACAAATATTTTCCATGGTTACCAAGTTATTTTCTATGGTTACCAGAATCCGAACCAGAACCAGAACGGAGAACCCGAACCAGAACCAGAACCAGAACGGAGAACCCGAACCAGAACCAGAACCAGAACCAGAACCGAGAACCAGAACCAGAACCGAGAGCCATAAACTTATATTGTACAGAAAATTCTGACAGCCAATCAGAATGCTGGAATGTTACGGAAAGTTATAACATGAGGTTTACTGGACGGGTTTTTTGAAATTATAATATAGATGCATTCACTTTTCTTTTCTATATTTCGCCGAGAAATGTGAATAAAATTAGTTTTCTACAGCATGAATGTAACTTCAGATAAACATTTAAAGACAAAAATTTCCAAGCGTAATTACGAACTTCAGCTAAAAGGACAATCAAAGCAACAGAAAAAAGAGCACCGCAAATCATAAAAAGTGTCACAAGTCTTCCATCCATACCCATCGATGAGATAATGTTGTCAGTATTATTAGCTACTGGTCTTCTCTGTTTCCACATATTTCTTGCCATTTCCCTCTTTAATCTTGAATAAATCCCGGAATGAACCAGGGCCTTAAATCTCTGATGGACAGGAGACATACTTCTATATACTGCACTTCTACCTCCACCAAGAAATCCCCATCCAGACCGTTCCTTCCCCAAGAGGTCGCTTCCAGAATAAAATTTCTTTGATGGGTAACTTTTGGTGAGAAAATCCATCTCTCCGCCAATCAGTTCAGTCCTCCCTATCATGACAGTTTTTTTCTCACAAATTGTAACATCTCGTTCCACCAAATCTCGTAATTCTTTCATGGTGTGCTTTCTATTTGTGAAATTGAAACCGCTGGGAAAAAAGTTATGGACTGGATTCAGAAGAAGGACGTAAAGTAGCCCGTCATTGCTAATTGCTGGACTTTCCTTATTGAGCTGAAATTCCGTAAGTAGTTTTTTGATATCCATGATATATTTCATAACTAAATGGGTGTACCAGGCATACGTTACGCCAAATACAGTTTGAGCCGGGGTTGAAAGCATTGTAAAACAGCTATCTGACGCAAAAGTATTGGAAGCATTTGGTAACCAAATATTCGACTTTCCCCAATATAAATCTAAATTTGTATCTTTTGCCCATCTTGCAATATCTTTATAATCTCTGCTATTGAGAATATGTCTATCTTGACATATCAAATCTTGGAACGTTTCCGGCAGTGATTGTTGCAACGGTGCGTTCAGTTCTGTTATCATTATTCCGGTATAACAATTCGTCAACAAAACAGCAACCAATCCCACAGCGCTGAATAAGGTTCGATAAAAAAACTTATTCCCCATATAATTTGGAACTGATGTGAAGTCATCAAAAAATAGAGATAAGAAAGTCAAAATTAATCCAATCGGAGATCGCTTATGCTTCCAAAACATGTAGAAGGATAGAATCATAAAAGTCAAAAGCAGGCTTGATAGCAAACTAAGCCACACTGCCGGTTGGAATGGTGTCACGTAGAAATCAAACGTTATATAGGAATCAGTATAGCAACTCAGAAATTGTAACCCGGTAGAATAAGTGAATTCCCAGCGCATGCCTTCCATATTATAAATATATAACATGGTTTCTACCTCCACATGGAAATCATCGTCCCAATTTCGCTGCAAAATGAACGTCGCATTTCTCCCTGTTTCCACCAAAATTGCTGCCATGTACATTGGAATGGACTTATAGATCTTACCATCAAACAGATTTAACGAAGAGTGAGGAAAATTTCTGATTTCGATAGTATCACGTTTATCTCTGATGAAAGTATTGTAAGACCCTACCCAAGTTTCCTGCAACGGGGTAAGCCTCTCATAATCGGCCAATATTTTACCATCGTCTGCTAATTTGCAATCATAACTCTCCGTAATATTAGGTAGCAGCGCTAACCTTTTCACACAAATTTTTAAACCTCGTCCTGAGATGAGGAGTATGAACAAACTTTCATAATAAATGTTGTGACTGTAGATTTCTAAAACGCTTGCTGCTTCCTCCAAGCTAAACTTGGTTATAATTATTGGGTAAGTATTTTTTATGGCGGATATATATTTCCAACTTCCTGTCAATTTACTAGTGTAATGAA